CCCCAAAACCCCAAAACCCCTTTGAGAATTGATTAAATAGTCAGGAAAAAAAGAGATTTGATAAAAATTATTAATATAATCTATGTTATCTAATTTTATTGTGAATACAAATAGCTAAAGTCAACCTCAAAGCTTTCCGCTTTAGATTCTTTATAATTACCCAAGTAGCAATTACTAGATAATCACAAAGCCACAAATCTACAATTCAACTACAAATCAACCGCTCTATATATTAAAGAATGGATTTGAAAATTCCTCGTACTTTCCGTAATCTCAATTTCAAATATCAGATCTGCCTGACATTGGAAATTAATAATTATCAAGGGAAAATAATTCATTGCCCCTGCTCATTAAGTCAGAAAACAATCAGCATTCTATTTAACCTATTATCTCAGAAAGATAAAGAGCAGACTCTTGCATATGCAAGTGTTAGTGCGGTGCTTTAGGGGATGATTTTCTGATCAAACATAAACAAGGGATTTTTCTTCAGAAATAATTGAATTCCAATAAAGATGAGCTTAAATTAATGTAGTAATTGGATAATGATAACCAGATAGCAAATGAATTAACAGAGATTGATGAATCTTATGCAACTAAGTAAATCAAATAAATCCTTAAACTTCCTGAAAGATCTTAGGTTCAAATTACTTTGGGAGAGCATATTAATAAAGAACAACTTCCAAATGTGCCTAATATACCAGCCTTGAAGACTTACAAGCAAGTTAAAATATATAAGTAAGAGTTAAAAAAATGGAAAACTCTTTTCATTTGTACCTTTAATAACTGCAATACTGTCTGCCAGAAGTGGGGCACTTTATATGACCATTTAAGAACTCATAGCAATGAAAGACCTTTCTAATGCCCAGTAGAATTATGTCTCAAAACATTTACATAGAAGAGCAATCTTGAAAAACATATAAAAACTCACAAGAGATCTTACTTGAAATGCTGTAAATGTAAAGCTGTTTTACATAAGGATCGATTGTTAAGACATTTTAATAAAAATCACTATGAATCATAGATCATTAAATAAAAAGAATGCGGAGTAAAATAGATTGATGAATTGATTACTCCTCATAATGAGTCTGAAAAGAAGGAGCCCTGATATAAATTTTTAAATCGAATTAAAATGATTCATGAAATTATTTAACTTTATTAGTTCATTTAAAAAGCATTCTTAAATTATTATAGAGAAATCAATTAAATTGTTCACTGCATTTCAGTTAGATTGTTGATACTAGCTTGGTGGGGTTTTGGGGTTTTGGGG